CTTTGCAGTCCCAGGTTAAGTGTCCTGGTCCAAAGCAGCGGAAACACCTTTTTGGGGTTTCTTTCAACCGCAGCCTGCAGCTAACCCAGCCAATTTGTCTGTCGCATTAGTGCACCCGCCCTATTCTGGTCCAGCGTTACATATGCCCTTACCTTCTTAATAACTAAACATGTCCAAATTATGACAAGAAAAGAACTAACGACATATTAAGTAAGTCCAGAAAAAGTATCTACAGACTAACTTCTACCATAACAGGGCATTGGCCATTTAAAGAACAGCGTCCAAGATGGGTATGCCTTACAATAACATCTGCCGAGGCTGCGAACTAGTAGGGAATAAGTAAACAATTTTCCACTTTTTCTGTGTATGCCTAGCCCTATCGCAGATCCGACGCAGAACACTTGGAATTCATTAAGCACCAAACCTTGAATGGATGTCTACAAAAAGCATATCGGACATGAATAGCTTCACTGAAATGGTTTGAACGAGAAAGTGATAGCTACTAAAAGTGATAGATACTAAAATTTTTCTAGCATCAAATATAACTAGAATTTTTTCTTATGTTTTGGAACTGGTATGAGACTGAACAATCGAAAATTAGAGTTACTTGCATGGAAGAAAGATATATGGTCAGTTGACTATTGAAGTTTGTGGCTCAAACTAGTTGCCACGTGGTATGTAACCAGCTGATTTTTCTAACGGGCAAGAATAGTTCTCTTCACTTATACATACATGCATACATCACACAAAACACAATTTCTAATTTTCTATTCAATTCATAAAATAAGAAAGCTTAACAAGTGGTTGCTTATTGCTAAGAATTTACACTCATCAAAAATATATTAAATTGCGAGCAAAGTATTCAACAATTTCACAACGACAACAATAATCTCTACACAAAAACAACAGCAAGCTGCAACTGTTGTACTGAAGTGCTGGGCTGAATGTCTGAAAATGTTAAGGTTAATCAGCTACACGGGAATTGTGCAAGTCCGAGGTCAAACTTGAGCAACAAATAAAGCCAAGGATTAGTTGGACAACAGTTGCATATGAGCGCCGCAGTGTCGTTGTAGACAGGGCAATTTGCGCATGTAAAAGCACATTATGTGTACACATCACTAGGTATGAGCAGTCACACATACACAGAAACAAACTTATAGATACACATACCCAGCTACTGCATTGCTGGTGCTTATTCTGCTCGCAGTGCATTGCCAGCGATTTGAAGCGCTCAACTGTAAGCACTTCTGACATTTTCCTCGCCCACAACCGCCGCACGTCTAACCGAATTCGTTTTTACTATACTTACGTTTGAGTTTGCATTCGCATTCCGTATTTATATGCTAAATGCAGAAGATTGATTTATGCACTGCTTGAAGAAGATTTATGGCGAATTTAATGGAGTAGGTAAACGGAGCGCTGTTTGCATTAAGCAAGAATGATATTGGCAAGCATTATTGCAGTTGGAAATTGTGTTTACATTTGCATTTTCATTGGCTAGTTGAGATAATTCTCTTGATAAGATTCAATTTAACATATGGATGTACATATGTACACCTAAGGGAGTGTGAGAAACGTTGAAAATGTAAACGGGTGAAACAAGTTCATGGCTTCTTTATGTTAGGCTATAAGTTAGAAGCGACGCTGCAGATATTTCAAACGGGATCAGAATATTTTTGTTTAACTGAGGACTGATATTCACTATAATATTTTCGGTTGAAATTAGAAAATCTAGTAAAGGAGAAGGCATTGTGAAGTAATTTGGAAAGCTGTAAGCGGCAAAAAATAATGCAAATTTTCTCGTTAAGGAATAAAAATAAAATTCAGTTAAAACAAGAAAAACCTTTCAGTTGCACCGAAGAGTAGTAGGATCGATAGACAGGCGGACATGTCTAAATCGACTCAGTTCGTCACACTGATCATATGTACACATATATTATATATACTTTATTAGAAGATATTGTCTGTTCAATGACCAATGAGAGAAAGAAAACAAAGTGACTAAATGACTGTGGTTCTCAAAAAGCTGACGTTTGCTCAAAAATTTGGGTTTCTTTACCCTGGAAAATTCAGTTTTAATCAAATCAAGAAGGGAGATCATTGTATACAGAACTATATGCAGCATATGCTTTAAAAAATGTATAGTTATCGCATCGATTGTCTCTGAGTAATCACTCAAGCATTTAAAGATGAAGAAGGGGGTAAAACCCAATGAAAGATTAGAAATTTAATTTAATTTTATACTAGGTGGCTTTGTGATCTTTGTTGACTGCATCATAAACTGCATGAACGGCCAGTAATGCGAGGTCCATCATTTATCTTCGTGAATTTGTGCCGCATGATAAATGCGCTTTTGGAAGTAGGCAAGTATTATTTTCGAAAATAAATTCATATACTAATCGATTTCCAATAAGAAAGCATAAATGACTGATATTAGAGAAGTCTTTAGCTTGATCAGTTTCCCTGTCAGTATTATAATTATTTAGTCTAGTAAGTATTTGTTTTCATTTTGATATTCTCAATTTATTCTTAAAAATATATGTCGTCCACCTCAAAATAATTCTACTTGACCACAATACACTTGTGTCAATGTATTTTCCAATCTTCCAAACAGGTGTTAAAGTCAGTTTCCGGAATAGCCTTCAATACGCGTGGCGATTCACGTTTGATGTCTTCAATTGACTGAATCCGATTTCCTCGGAGCAGAAAAAGCTAAATCAGGCGAATACGGTAGTTGCGGCACGACATTGGTTGAATATGTGGCGAAAAACTCACGAAGAATCAATGCAGTATGCGAAGATGTGTTATTGCGGTGCAAAAACTAAGAGTTTTAAACCCATAATTCCGGCATCGTTTTATGTAAAGCATCTCGCAATGGACACATAACACTCAAATAGTATGTAGTAAACGCATAGATCCAAGACTCGCCGCCAGTAATAATATGTTTCATAATATCCTGGTAATCGAAAAGAATTGTTTTACAGACGTAAACGCGACGCTGTTGTTCAAACAAATTGAGTGAGTTTCGAACCAATCATTTCTCTTGTGATCTTTCGAAATAGGTAATCATCGATTCTCAAGCACCAAGTTCTTTATTTTTATAGTTTGATCATCAGCATATGTTGATGGCCGTCATTGTTCGCCGTTTCGATCCTCTTTGAATAATTTGTATCAATCAAAAACATTTTTTGGAGACAAATAATTATCACCGAAGGCCTTTTACAATATTCTGAACGTTTCACCACCAAAATTTTGATCCCGCACACAAAATTTAATGGAAGTTCTTTGTTGAATAATTACACTTATCGCAAAAATGGTACAATGCACTTTATGTACTTCAGAAAGGCAAGTGTGTACTAAACGCTAATAAATATTTAGATGTGACATTTTGCTCAGATGTTAGGCCAATCCAGAAAAAAAATATTTCGAAGAATGGTTTTTTGCGAAAAATTTACTAAGAAGTCTTACTATTTTTTGCCCACAGTTGTATAATTAGGAATTTCACATATTCAAAGGCGTTAATATAGTAATTTTTCCACCTAAAATCATCTAAAATAAATAATTTACACCCTGTCAAGGAAATAATGGGAATTCTTCTTCTTGTTTTTCTTTGATATTCGTGGTATCGTCGACTATGAATACGTTCCAACCGGTGACAAAAGGTCAACAAAGAGTATGATGTTGGTGTTATGAATCGCTTATAATACGCTATCCGTCGTAAACCATTGAACTTTTGGCCACACACTCAAAAAATATCATTGAGCAAGCACCGATAAACTAAATTTGGATGATGTAGAAAACTTTTCGTTTTATTTATAAATTCAGGATACTTTCTTGACAGGGTGTATAAACTCACCAATAAGGCAAACAAATTTACTGGAAGAATTATTATTTAAAATTAGTTCTCTTTGAAATGAGTAAATAAATCAAATTTTTAGTCATGCAAGTACAAAAATAGCTTAAAATCACATTTGACTTAATTTTTTGAAGTTAAATTAATTATATGAAATTTTTAAAAACACATAATTTTGGAAAAATTAAATTGTCAGGATTTCAAATAACTAATTTTTGGAAATCAAATATATGTGAAGCCATGAATCGCATTTTCCGACAAATAATTACGCACATTATAATAACGCGGTCCCCCACACCATTATCTTGCGCGACCAAAGTGGTCGGATTATTATTGGTGCATTATCAGCACACAATCGCTGCCAGCACAAATATGACCATTTAATAAGTGTATGTGATTTGTTTTCTTTTTGTCAATGAAAACACTGAACACATGAGTGGCTCCATAAGAGCACTAAGCGTTCAGTGGCAGAGCCAGTCAGTTTCGTGCATGTCAGTGCAATGGGAAATCCTTGACTTTGTAAACACTTGACCACTTGTTAACCAGCGGGGCTGGAACCAGATTAAAATAGCAAAAACGTAAAAGTAGAAAAAGGAAGAAGTTAAAAAAGAAATAAACAAAGCAGCGCTGAAGAGAGAAACACACAGCTGACACTGAGTGAAAGCATTCAGCAATGAGCTCGCAATTGTAAGCATGCAGAGCGAAAGAGAGTGAGAGAGAGTGCGATAAACAAATTTGGCCAACTTGCCTGCTGTTCATGCACGTTGCGTATACGCAGTGGCTGACACACAGCACAGGCATACTTTAAAGCAATGAATGTAATTTATGTGAAATATGAGAATGTGTGGTTGTGTCTTAAATATATATGTGTACGTGAGCATTACATGTATATATGTATAAGGGAACAGAGCCAGCAGACGGTCCAGTTTCCATTCAGTTCAGCTCGAGAGTTCAACGTCAGTAGACGTTTCAGTTAAACAGGCGCTACTGACCAGCGGGCGATAAGACAAAAAATTTCAATGAAATTGAAAATATATATAAACTTGATAAATGTTGATGAGCTGAGTGTTTAAATATAGTTACTTGTGGCTAGTACAAAAAGTCAGCAACATAAAATTAAACGAAAAATAAGCGTCAAACGTAAAAGTCAGCTGAAGTGCAGTGATAATCCAAGTATTTGTCTGAGCAGAGCAGTCAGCGTAATTGGCTGTAGTTTAAAGCAAGAGTGTAGATACAAAAGCGAACAGTCAGCATTGAACGGTGCACAGCTGCAGGTGGAGGATGCTGAGCGCATAGCTGACTTATTGGCTATATGATTTAATACAAACGTGACGCTACTACCATATGCGAACGCAAACGTGAGGAAGTGATAAGAATTTAAAAAAATTTAAATAAAAAAATAAAAATTATTTTATTTAAAAAATTAAAAAAAAAAATAAAACACATTTTTATTGAAAATAAACACAAGTGTATATAAGGCTGCTAAAAGTGACGTGAAAACTCAGCCAAAAAATTGCATAATTTATATATAAAATATCATATTTTTTCAAAATATATGAATAACAACAACTAAGAAGCTTCCCTGACCACACTTCCACTAAAGCACCGCAATACAATATGACCGAAGTAATTGAGCTGAACGTTGGTGGCGTACACTACACCACCGTGCGGGACACACTGCTGCAGGAGAAATCCTCACAGCTGCACGAACTCTTCAGCAACACCGACGCACTGGTGAAGGACAACAAAGGACGCTACTTTCTCGATCGCGATGGTGTACTCTTCCGCTACATACTGGATTATTTGCGCGATAAGCAGCTCAGCCTGCCGGAGGGCTTCCGCGAGAAGCAACGCCTACAACGCGAAGCGGAACACTTCAAATTGACCGGCATGTTGGAGTGCCTACGCAACGCCAGCGATATGCGTGCCCCCGGCTGCATCACTATCGGCTATCGCGGCAGCTTTCAGTTCGGCAAGGACGGGCTGGCCGATGTGAAGTTTCGCAAACTCTCACGTATACTGGTTTGTGGGCGTGTGGCGTTGTGTCGCGAAATTTTCGGTGATACATTGAATGAGTCACGCGATCCCGATCATGGTGGACCGGATCGTTACACATCACGCTTCTTCCTCAAGCATTGTTTCATCGAGCAGGCTTTCGATATGCTACACGAGCGTGGCTTCCGCATGGCTGGCAGTTGTGGTTCTGGTACGGCGGGCTCGGTGGCGGAACCCAAACCGGGTGTGGACACAGAAGAGAATCGATGGAACCACTATAATGAATTCGTTTTTGTGCGCGAATAAGCAGTTGATGGTAGCCAAACAGCAGTTGTTGTTGTTGTTGTGGCGGTTGAGTAACAGTCGTCGATTTTAAGTACGCAGTTTTTTAGATTGTAAGTAGACGCGTTGTTGTTCGCTTGTGATGTTGCATATGTATATAAGAGACTTGTTGAAGCGCGGAGACAAAGCAAGTGAAGAAAGTAGTGTGAAAGCAGCCCTTCATACAAAAAAAAAAAAAAATATGCCACAAAGCTGTAAGAAAGTGGTGAAAAAGCAACGCATATAACCGCAGGCACTTTATATCCCCCAGCCATTCAGCGAGCTGGTCTTCTGCAACACAACTTTGCCACAATGCGAAGCAACATGTCATTGCAAGCAATTCTCTGCGCCACCACACATACACAAATGAGCGCGTGTATGGCATTAGCCATACTCACAGTTGTATTTTTTCCATTTTTTATTACAACTTGCAACGTGCCACACTCGTCCTAAATAACACTCAGCCTGCGGCAACTTGCTTCTACAGCCTTTAGTAGCACGGGAAGGTCAAAGCATCCATATTGTACGTGGTGTAAAGAGGAAAATACAGTTAATGCATGTCAAGACAAGAAATGTATATCACTATATATGTACACTAAATAGTTAGGCATACGCGAACACACACTTGCAACACTTACGTTGTATTTGCTCCGTGCAGAAAGCAGAAAACTGCGTAAATACTTACCGTGAGTAAAGTGGGAAAATTCATACATACATACATACAAATATATAAATAGCTTAGCGTTTCCTTATATTTATTTTAAGCACCGAAACGTGTGGCAATTAAAACAAAATATAAGATATGTGCATTTGCTTAGATAAAAGCGACATAAACCTTTTTATTTAATGTCACGCATGCAAGTAATTAGCTGGCCGGCTCTATAAACCACCAAGTACTCAAAGTGCTAAGCTGGCATTTTATGTATGATTTTTTTACAATGAAAGTTCTGCAAATGGGAAGCAATTAAAGCTTAGAATATCAGCCTTTGAGATGACTTGACTAGTGCTTTCCTTTGGCACTTACGTAATTTTTGTTGCTGTAACAATATGATGTGTTATAGAACTCTAAGTTATCCAGTGTGCCTGAACCACCTAGTTTACACCCTCCGACCGCTAGTTGTTTTATCGAAGGTCATAAAATAGAAGTTTTTAAAACAAAAATAAATTTCAAGTTAGTGCCTCTGGTAAAATGTGAGTTGTAGCCCTATACTGCAGTGAGCGATACAGCAAATGATCGTCTTTAGTAACTTCATACATACATATAACTTATGGAGCCCAACTTCTATTTCAAACAAAACTTAAAAACCATGTGATCCATGTGAATAAATGTACACATGATTGATAGGACGGTGAAAAGCTGGTGGTTGCACAGTTCAGCGAATGTACCTTAGACATCATTGAGTATATTACTGCTTAAGCTTACATACCCCATATMATTTAATGAGTTAGTTCAAGAGGTGTGCTTAATAAAACACCGGTCTCAGTAATATCGATATACGGGATTATAATACATTTTTACTTTATGTAAAAAAAATTTGGTTTGCTACCAATTCTTCTGAATATAATCTTCACAGACCTACATATTTGTCAGAGTTTAAGATACCTCTGTAAGTAACAAAACAGCTCATAACAAATATAGTATTCAACTCATCATGCAGTAGTGATTCCTTTTAGCTTATACGAAAGGTTCAATATCTATAAGAATAAAATCTACGGTGGATCAAAGATTATACAATTTTCGCACAATTGTAAAAAACAAGTATGAAACATGGAAGAAACAGTATATACATATGTATGAGCTAACTAAAGGTTTGCAAAAACACTTCAGAGTTTAACTTGTAATGAGGAATTCGGTACAAACTACGAGGTAGGCAGTCAGTTTAGTATCACTTTTCCGTGAAACAATTTCGTGTATATCATGCTATGAGGACTTAACTGGCTCAGTTACGCAATATTCATCTGCAACTAGCTCTAGATTGCCCATTTTTAAAGTATGGTGAAACTTCAAAAGCCGGAATGCGAAACTTCAATTCGCTAAATATAAATTACTCAGAACTCCAGACTGGAACCACCTGATTACATAGATATTTATTCGTGGGAGTGATAAGACATTTAAGTATTCTCTATGGCACAGACTGATGAACGCCTAATCTGCCCTATATGTCTCACTTTCGTCGTGATCGTAAAATTTTCCACCATAAAACTACCATTGAGTGTAGTCTAAGTTTTTCCCTTTTACTTAAAAAACTAGGGTCATAAAAGAAAACGAAGTAATGTCGTGCTGAAATCTACACAGGTAGCTTCTAGAGCACCCATGTCCACTTTGTATGAAAATCCAGTATGTGAGTCCACCGTCCCTTGAATGAGGTTTGCCACCGCTGCTGCCATATCTTTAAGATGGATCTGACAGCTTATATGTTTGTATACTTCAGCAGCATCGCTTGATATTGTTCGGAAATTCTTGGTGCCAACAGTTTGTGTACTGTGCTTATTTGTCTGGCATATGCTTTAATGCCTAGGGCCTGGATCCATATTAGAGCCGCATATAAGGCTTCTGTGTTTTGCTCAGAGGATTCTAATCGGATTGAAGAGAACCATTTGTACATTCATTACATTTTCTCTAGAGATCATCTGTGAGTTTAACCCCTACAAGCACAATAAGGTCGTCTGCGTATGAAATTAATTTAACGGATTTCGGATGGTGTCTCCTTTGCACGCCATAAAACATTAAGCTCCATAGAAGGGAACTTGAAGCTTTCTTTGTCTCTAGATTGCCTAATATTTAGATTTATGTATATCTATTGAAAAATTCAAATAACGTTGGGGTCCTACTGTGCATAACATATGCATATATAATTGCCACCTACATTCACATCTAAGTCTTTCAAAATTACAGTTCATACATTGAATCCACTGAGACTCAACTATATTTTTAACATGTTTGTCGATTAAATTTTTGAAAGTGGTCAAAGGCATATAAATTACCTTTTCCGGAATCAAGTTGTAGGTTTGTGCCTGTTCTAGCTAGTTTAGTTATCAGGCACATATTTATGTCCTGGAGTCTATTGCAGGTTTTTCGTGAAATTAAGATATCGAGACAGTCTTTCACTAGAAAACTTTGACGACACTTTACGAGACATTAGTCACTTCAAAGCCGCCTGGGTATCTGTATATGAAGTATGTTGTACAAAAACTGTTTATGTTATTGTTGCTTTGAGGTGCCATCATATTCGAACTGACGTTCAAACTCACTTTCAACGCATTTCTACACACAAGAAAGTGTTCACTGACAAAAATTAAAAGAAAAAAATATAAATATTTTCAAAAAGAAGGCAACAAGCATAAATTTCTTGACCTAAAAATCGAAGAAGAAAAGAAGTTACATTACTAGACCGAAATCTACTACCTTCCTCCCGAATATAATGCCGCCAGCTTTGAGTGCACATAAAAAGTTGGAAGGTTTGAGCTAAAAACAGTTTTAAGATTTTTTTATGTTTCTTTGCATATTATAAAACTATATAAAAATAACCTGAAACTTAATCTAGCTATGGCCACTGTGAACCACCTTACCCCCACTATCCATAGAGTGGGAGGGAGCTCCGAATCTTTGAGCGGTCTACTACTAAATAGTTTGACTTTAGGGGAGTTTGCGCAATAATAGATTATCTGTCGCTACCCGAAAAGGTCTACTAGTAAGCTCTTCGCGCTCAAAAAGGTTAGCCATTTTTGGTTGTAAAGGTTGTAACTAGTCATTGCCATATCGGTATTCATATGGTAATCTGAGAAGCTTATTGGATGCCAGTTATAGATTCTGTTTGAAGGTCAACGAGATCCAAATATTTTAGCAACCTTTTATTTATTTTTTAGCTTTGCAGGACCAATAAACAACTTTCGTGAAATATTCAAAGAACCAGGTAATCATTTTTTGGCTAAAAAAATATATATTGTTTTTAAATTAAATTTTTTAAATTCTTAAAATAAAAAATAATTACTAACTAAAAAAAAATTATTAATTTAAAATTAAAAAAAAAATAATTAAACTTAATTTATTTATAAAAATGAAAAATAAAAAAAATTTAAAAAAAAAAAAAAATTTTAATTTATATAAAATTAATGAAAAACATTAATGAATAAAAGAAATTATATTTATATAAAATTAAAAAATGAACTAACAATTTTTAATTAATTTAAAATAAAAAATTGGAAAAGTTTAAATAATTAAACTAAATAAATTATTTAAAAAAATTAATTGTGATTGCTGCACCTAGCTCAATGTATGTATGTATGTATGCATTTTTCACTGAGCTTACTTTTTCAAAAATCTAGGCGTACTGACGAACTTAACACGACTGTTTGCGACACTTTGTAAACGAATGCCAAATATTTAAAACGAAATGAAAGTAGCAAATTATATCATTTAAAGGAGGGCAGAAAATAAAATTGCAAATAAAACTATGTTGATATAAAATAAATGAAATACAAGTATTGAACTAATATTAGTACGGGTCTTAGCATTTAATTAAAGAAAACAAAAACAAAAAAAATACAAAAACAAAAACAAAAAATACTAAATTTAAGTAAAAATGATTTTAAATTGAATTGGAGCTGCAGCGAATTTATGTAAAAATATGGCAATGCGACATAAATTTGCGCTTGTGGCCGATTTGGGAAAATAAATGGCGAACCAAAATAGCGTAGAATAAATTTATGTAATGAAAACTTATACAAAAGTAATGCAAATACAACAAAAGCATAAAATGGTAAAAGAATTTAATGAGAATGCAAATTGAAAAACAAAATAGAAAAACACTATTAATTTCAATGTGCATAAAACAAAAACAAACAACAAATTTGAGCAAATACAAAGCGATATTAGCTGGCGCAAATATTTGAAGAAATACTTGTGCGAATTGAAATTTGTAATGGCTAATGTAATGGCAAAAGTAATCTATTATACTTATTATTATTAGTAACGTATTTGATAAAGCATTGCATGCAAACACAACAACAAAAAGTAGGCGAAAACCACAGTAGCAATGACGAAAGTAATAATGGACAAATATTTGGCGAAATAGATATAGCAAAAATACGACTATGTAGGGCTGTAATGCAAAGCAAATAATTAAAATTCACGCTAATGACAGCAAGCGATAGCGAGCAGGCAGACAGTCGAAAAATAAGCGCGGCAATTTACAAATGAA